GCGTCTAGCCTATCAACGGGTGTGCAAAGGTATAGGTTGCAACAAGGTAATGGCTTACAAGCAATTCTACCATGCAACCTATCACAGATCATTTGCATAAAAGTAAAGCACTAGCAGCTACATTATACCATGTATAGTAGGATTCTACGAGGTTAGGTGGGAAGTGGCACCTGCGGGCAAGTCATCTCCAAGGTCGTCGGTGTAGTCGGGGTAGTACTCCTCAGTCTGCGGGTCCTCCGGGTTTGCCAAACGAGACATATAGCCGCGATAAGCCACTCCGATAGATAATCACAAAAAAACAATGGAAAACCAAAAGATCCAAATGCACTCAAACACAAGCCTATGACGTAGAGCTTATTTTTAGAAAATTTGGACACTGGTTTCATATTTTTCTGAGGTCGGATGAAGTTTAATCCATTTTCTAAAAAAAAGAGTTGAATTAATTAAGTGATGACACGTGGTGCTTCCAGATTGGCTCGCGGTTCGGTAGTGATTGACAGGTGGGACCGGGTCAACGGCCAACGGTTGACCGAGCTCGGACAGGGCCTGGCGGGCCGGATATTGGGCTGGGTTGGGTCGATCCGAGGTGGGCCGGCCTAGACACGTGTCGGCCAGCTGGGCTAGCCACGTGGCGCTGGCGGGTTGCTACTGGGCTCGCGTCTATGGGCGCGGCTTATGGTGGACCCACGGCGCTGGTCCATGGACCGCTGGCTAGGTCCACGGTGGACCAGATCCACCTCTTCTCCTTCTCTCTCCAGTTCATGGTGGATCAAGCTCACGGAACGGCGACCAGGGGGAAAGGGCGCTTTGCTCCTCACCGCGGTGGCGAAACAAGGCATGTCGGGGCTCAGCGGGGCTTCTATGGCCTCCTAGGGTTTCCTTGTGGCCAGGCAGACGCGGTAAAGGCTCAGAGGTGAGGTCTTTTGGCTTGCCATGGCCGGCTACGGCGACGGCGGAGCTATGGCTCGTGTAACAGGAGCCGAAAAGAGGCTCCTTTCCATGCGATTGGGGTCGCGGTGCGTCGCAATGGGTGGCGCTGGTGACCATCTCTCACCTCGAAGTCCGCTCGGCAGCAGAAGGCACGGCGGTGCTCCGAGGGGACTCCGATGACGGTGAACTAGGGTCTAGAGAGGCCTAGACGGTCAACCAACTAGACGGCTAGGTGCGCGGTGTCACGGCGAACATCATCGGCCTTTCCTCGCTCAACGAGGCGTCCAGAATCAATGGGAACATCTACGGCGTGGTGGTGACATGGGAACATGGCGGCCCGATGAGGCCGACGCGACCAGCGGTTCCCGGGGCTTCTTCCCCTCCTTCTAGCGTGCGGTGCGCCTCTCGGTGAGGCGAAACTCACCGAGACATCCTCCCTACCTCTACCGGCCTAAGGTGACCAGAACAGAACCTCGCCATGGCAGGGTCTGGCCATGACGAGCACGCTGGTGCGCGACACAACGGCGCCAGCGTTCCCGAGCCCATGTGGCTCGGCTTCGCCGCGCGGTGACTCGTGCGGGTGCGCGTGTACCTAAGGTGCCTTGTGATAGCCTAAAGGCGCTGCCTTGGGCTTCCCAAGGGGGAAACCACATCGGCGATCATGGCGCGCGTGCATGGCGATGGGCAGAGGGATGACGACGGGGCTCACCATGGTGGTGGGGAAGATACGATAGTGGTGCAGGGCGAGTCGTGGCCATGTCAAGAGGTAGCAGTGCAGTGTCGATCCGCAGCGAAGAAGAAGACGTCCGGCGTTGTCCTCGTCTCCGACGGACACGGACGGAACTCCGGTGGCTTTGGCTCCTCTCCTTCTTCCTTCTCCTTCCCTCTCCTTCTCTTCTCTGGCTTGGCGTGGGTGTAGCGGTGCCATGGAGTGGTGGCGGGGTATGGGAGAGGCGCTAGGGCACCAGGGCTTATATATAGCCACTCGTGGCTATGGCAATGGCGGTGAACGGCGGGAAGGGATGGAGGCGGTACGTGTACGACGATCGGGGCTCCCAGGCTAGGGTTTTGGGGTGCGCGGAGTGGTTGCGGGGGCGCTGGTGCTCCCAATTCGAACAGCGGCCGATCAAGGCAAGGACGGGGTGGCGTCACGGTGCGGGGCCATGGTGGCAGACGTCACGCGTGGCACGGCGCGGGCTGGGGGAAGCACAGACGTCGTGGATCGTGGACGTGGCATCCATCTGTGTGTTGGTGCCCAATGGCCTGGAGGCGGACGGCTACGAGCGGTCAGGCGGGGAAGATTCCCTCCTCCAGCGTCGTGCTCTACTCGGTGCAAAAGCAGAGGGCGAGGAAGGGGAAGACGGGCGGGGTCCACCCATCAACGGCAGCAGGGAAGGTGACAGCGGCACGTCGCGACGCGGGCGCGGGTGTGGGCCGCAACGCTGGGCCGGCTGCGGTCGCACGCGAGCGCGGGCGCGGGTGGGGAGCTGGGCCGCGATGCTGGGCCGGCTGCGGTTGGCTTGGGCTACTACGGCTGGGTTGTTGCGGCTGCTTGGCCTGCCCTCCCTTTCTCCTTTTCTATTTTCTAATTTCTATTCCCATCTCCATTCTAGGGTTTCTATAGTCGTATAAGTGTAGCCCATACTTGTATACAAGTCTAGGTGGGCCCACTAGGTCTACTAGGGTCCTCATTTGGGCTTGAGCCTTGGAAGCACACACATCAAGTTTAATTAAAAAGGTGTTGGTCACAATTTTATTAACAAGTATAAATCCCAAAAGAAGCAACTCATGTTGTTAATTAAATGCATATGCTCAAACATTCTACCTTGGGTTCTACTTGTGCAACTATGTAGGTGGTTTCCTAGTATGCTCACTCACTATACATGGGTTTTGTTGGGAAAAAAATTTAAGTTCAGATTTTTGGTTATTGGAAAACTTGGGTTGTTACAGAAATCATCAATGATGTTTGGTTGGGAACTTGTTATGATGACTTTGACGATAGCCACAACAAGGTTGCTGTTGCGGGAGTCAATTTCATTGGCAGGAGATCAGTTTGTGGTTACTATCTGCAAGGACAAGTGTGCTCATGGGCACTTCCCACAGAGATATTCGCTCAGAGTCACTAACCTCATCATCAATGGCCACGGAGCATGCCTTCTACCTGACGATTCAATCACCGATGTTTTTTCATTGATTTAGATGTGTTTTGGTCTGATTCATAATGTTGGATCTTGCGGGCTACGATATGTCCAAAGTTTTAGGGTTTGGCAGCAGATTTGGCATGAGGAGGATTATATGTTTGATGATGTTATGTCCATCTGCAGCATCAGTTGTAGCGATTAAAGCCACCAGGAAAGAAGATGAAACGGCTTAGTAAGAATAATGTTTATTTTTTACTTTAGATTTTTTTTATATGTAATTTAGCGATGTACCGTTGCTGAGTATTAATATAATCCCCTTCACTTCCGTAAAAAAACATTGCGGCACCTCATATGTTGAATGGAAGGAGTACCCGCCTAAAAAAACAGATGGAAAACATTTGTAGTCCAATAACTGATTGCTGCCCACAAGATCTACTCTCACTTATTTCTCGAAATCATGCAGGGTTAATTAGCACGTACGGCCTGATTACTTTTAAGCAAGGCACTAGCTCTCTCTCTCTCTGTTGTTATACATATAGTTAGCTTTTCAATGGAACATAAGAAATAGCAGCAAGTTAGCAAACTAATCCTAGGCCTAGGCTTCTCGTCATTAAAAGAAAAAAAGGTTCTTGCACCGTCCCAAAACGAAAGGATCAGACGACCCCAGCCGGCTTTTGCGTAGGATTCTTATGAGTTAGCGGAGCAGTTGAAGCTTGTGAGCTGTAGCGTGATGCATGACTCGGATCTTTGTGTGTTTCCTGGCCGTCTTCACACGCTCTCTCTTCCAATGGATTGATCACTCATGCTAGTAATTCGTTATGCCGCTCTGTACTAGCATGCAGTTAGCTTCCATGGATCACTACCAAATAAAAAAGATACTGTGAAGATGATATTGGAGGGCATTTGCTGACGAGCGTCTTACTGGAGAAGGGTCAACTTCACAAATTCCCTTGCAGCCTCATCGCTCTCCTGGACAAAGCTTAGATGTCGCATATATATAACTGCAACAAATTCCTTCATAGATGCCTGAAAACGTTGTAAACGTTGCTAAGAAAACGTTTACAACTTCACAAATTCCTTCGTCTATATGAAGAAAACGTTTACAACAAATTCCTAGCTCAATTGAGTAGCTGTACTGAATACGAGACTAACATGCATGTGCATGGACAAGTTCGAGTTTAGACTTCTCAGCTAACAGTGGCGAGGCGGTGGACGTGGGCCCAGACTTGTACGGCACATGCCTTGCCTGGTGTCCACGTCAGATGCCACCATCCGCGGTCGGTGGCGTTCATGTTACACCAAACGACAAATTTGTACTACGTCCAGGCTCTTCTTTTACAGCGAAACGTAGCAAATTTGCGAGAATACGGTGAACACTCTTTAGACTGTACAGGTGTGCTGCTATTGTATCCTACCAGGGTTTCGTAAAGAAAGCAAAAGGTTACCCGAAAAATTCCAATGTGTTCTACTATATATCTTCTTCCAAAAAAAAAGGTAAATATAAAGCCATATTAGGCTCGGCAGCATCCCTCGTGCAGAGACATAAGAAATGTTACGATAAGGCACTGACAAAGAATAGTGAATGGGTAACTCAAATCAAGGTGAAAACGTTAATGAAAAATCGAGAGGTTCTTTTTGCCAAATTCATGGCCTCACATCACATCAAGCCTCCTGATCTTATTCGGGTAACTCAAATCTTATTCTCAGGTAAAGACCAGCCTCACCAGTACGCACTCATATTCTTAATCAGATAGTTGGTATAAACACGAAAAAATCATCTTAGAAGAAAAGTCACTGGAACCTTCCCTTGTCCTTCCCAGACTAAAAAGTCTGTGTAAGCAGTTCAGTATGATACTCGTGCCACGCATGACCGGGCCGAGTAAGACACCATGCGAAGCTGCTCACAGAATGATGCCAATGTCCCTATGTTCACTGCTGCACGAATTTGTTCAGTGCCGTCACATCCAGTGCTGAAAAATCATTCACAGCAGCAAGAACCGCAAGCCCCAGTTTAATCGCATCATCGTTACTTGGTGCCTATAGTATGCGCACATCACATGACTCTCAATTGTCTTCATTATAAGGATTGACAGAGGAGGGGAAAAGAACTACCTCAATGTTTAGGGGAAGAACAGGGTCATGGAGAGAGAGCCTCAGCAGGAACCACCCACCATATCCTGAAACCCTTACCTGTGTATGGTAGTATGCCATAAAATAAGCAAAAATCCAGCTTTCTCGCAGAAGAAAAATTATACATCAAGATCTATATTGAAGTTTCGAAAAACAAAGCAAAGAATATGGACATACGCCCTCATAGTTCTTAGGGGCTTTATGGAGATTTGGATCTCTGCTGATTGCATTCTCTAAATGTTTCAAGACTGATTCTCCATAGTCACGGAAGGACCTGTAGAGAAACCCACAAATGTTTAAAATCTTCACAGGCTGTATGACCCACTGTGATAACATGTCAAACAAAAGGGGCAAAGCATTTAATTGAGTTACTGTCACCCCAATCCTATTTTACCTATAATGACCCATTGTTTTATTAGTCTTATAATAAAGCTAAACATTGTTATACAATAGCCACCTCCAACATCCAAAAAGGAATATGTTACCAGGAGTAAACTGATGCCCCCAATCCTATTTTCACATTACAGCTCGTTTCCCTAATTAAACTTAGATGTTTCCATAAGCCAGAAACGATGCATTCACAGCCAGAGAATTGTAGTATTGGTTTGCTTAGATAAAATCACAAGATTAACAGGTATACAACTATGAGCAATGAGGGGGATATGTGAACTTGAGTTCTCAATATCAAGGATTGCACGTTTGGTTATGGAAAATTAAAAAACGATACCTATCATATTTCTTTTTTTCAGTTTCCAAAAAAAATTCACCGACTGCAGTCAATAAGAACGTCTCATGTTTCAGCTAACTTACCATTCATTCACAAAGATCGTTTCTGTTTAAGTGCACAATACTAGAAAACTACTAGTGCACAAATGATGTCCTTGAGAAATAACCAAAAAACACTTCAGAGTTAACATACCCTCCTTTCAAATCTGCATGATTCTGATCAATCTTCAATCTTATCTCAGCTGTCACAGCAGCTTCCTCAAGACCCTCGACCAAATCAGTCAAAACTTTACTACCAATACTTGAACCCAATGTTCTAGCAGCAGCAAGTTTATTCAGAAGTTTGACCTAAGGGAAAGGAGAAATTTAAGTCTCATATTTGCAAAAGAAGATGCAGTCCTAGTTTTTGATGAAACCACGAAAAATAGAACGCCACAAATTTTAAAAGTAATATGAGTCACTCTAACAAGGACTAGCCTCATACATCTATCATTTATAGATTGAATGTGTGAAGAACATAACATCATGGACAAACTTCTTTACCAGGTAATACAAAAGACAAACTTTCCTCATGCATGAAATGTTGATGTGATTATCCATTTTCATATTATTCCCCTTGCATTGTTCGCAAAGTTCAATGAGTAGTAGACCAACGGTCCTTACCATAAGGTATGCTCCATCATCAAGCCAGTGGTTCTCTTTCAGTGCTCCATGACCACTTGTTTCCATGGCCAAATGTGACTCCTCACCAATAGAATTCTGAAAATTTTCCATATTCTAAATCTCATCCTACTGCTAGTTAATTTGTGTGCGTGTGTGTGTGTGTGTGGGTTTGGGGGATCCAGGGACTAACTCGATTACATAGAAAAGTGTAAACTAACCAGACGAATAGCCTCATCTATTACATTCTTGTAACCTCGTTTGAAACGGTGATGCTTCCCTCCTTAAGAAAAAAATAGATAAGTAAATGATTATTTACTCAACCAAAGCACGACATTGTGAACAGTACATACCAAGTTTATTTTCAATGAATACAGTCAATCCATCTGAAGTCACACTATCTGTCACAACTGTAGTTCCTGGATGCTAGCACCAGAGCAATGGATTTAGTTAGTGGCAATCAATAAAGTAGTACAAAATAAAACATTATAACTGCAACTCAGAAAAGAATCTTACTTCCTCAAGAACTATGGCAGCCATCAAAGCAATCAATCGGTTACGATTCAATTCACGACCACTCGAATCAACAGCAGCAGACCTGCAAAAGGTAAGGTTTAGCTCCAACCTGTTAGACGTCAGCAGAACCTCAAAGACTAGCTATATTGTACCTGTCGACATCAGTATCAAATATGATGCCTAAGTCTGCCTTGTTATCAAGAACTGCTTGTGTAATAGACATCATTGCAGTTTTGTCCTCAGGGTTGGGAATGTGATTGGGAAACAAACCTAAATAAGTGGTGTATAAGAAATGGGAGAAAGGCCAAAAGTATTATAATTGCATGAAGAAAACAATAAGCTATTACCATCAGGCTCAAGGAATTGACTTCCAGTAGTAACAGCTCCTAATGGTTTGAGTACCTTATCCTGATACAAAAACCACAAACATAAAACCATTCTTTTATCAATAGCTAGTTGTTTCAGGAGTATCACTCCTATGTATTCAGTGGAGAGTTTGGCACTGTAAAAGGAAAATCAAGCAAAGAAAAATGTAGAACTCTGAATTGGGAAATTACTCTAGGATGGAGTTTTAGAAATGGATAGATACCGACTTGCTTTATATAGAGCAGATTGAAATTCTTGACTGAACATTTGAATGAAAATTGAATGTTAATGTTATCTGCTATCCTACATGGTTGGAAATTGCGTGTTCTGAGGGGAGGAATGGTTGAAAATTCAAACTTAAACAATTTGATTTCTCTAGCTGTTACATTAAGGGTCTGTTTGCGGCTGCTGTGCCATGCTGCACTTATTTTTTGAGGCTGCTATATAGGAAGCAAATAACTGAAGATGTCATAGTTTGTTAGGGAAATCCAATTAAGTCTTTTATTTTTTGAGGCTGCAATATAGGAAGCAAATAACGAAGATGTCATAGATTGTTAGGGAAATCCAATTAAGTCTAGATAAAATGTGTTACACAACTGCTGAGTTGTTGATTTTCTCACACGTGTTGTGTAAGATGAAACATATTAATATGCAAGATAGATTAGAATAAAAACAGTTAGCCAACATTAGTATTTTTAAAAGAAGTTCCACCAAACAATATCATCAATATTCAATAATCCATCTCAATGCCAAACAGAGCCTTATATTAAACTGCAGAGAGGAGAGTGTGAAGCATTTCAATAGACTGATCAACCATTTGACCGCAGGTAATGATATACAACATAACAAATGAACCAAGGCTAGAAGATGTACATTGGTACAGGACTTTGGAAGTGTAACACATTACCACAAAAAAACCACCAGCACCATTCCCTGCATCAACGATTATATGCAGTCCCTCCAATGGTTTTTCTAAGGCCAAAGAAAAAAAAACATAACCATCATAAGTTGTTTCATTTGTTTGTTTCCCTGAAGGCTAAGTTGTGTCATATTAATGTTTGACATTCAATCATTTCAGAAAATTTCACTATATCTATCACCCACATGGACAGATTTGTTTGAACACTAGTAGAAATTGATTACCCAGAAACGAAAAGATAATTTCTGCTGTTTGTAAAGAAGTGCAGAAAATAAACAACTAAGAATATAAAATGTTGAAAATTGGCATGGTGTATATGCAAAATAAAATGGTGTCTACAAATCATAACTATAAGATAAAGAAAAACTCAAACAATAAGTTGGTATTGCAACAAATCGTAAGGGCTTGTTTAGATGGAAGGGGATCTCCTCACCTTCTATCGAAACAGGCCCTAAGGGGCTAAAAAGTGCAAGTGGAGGACGAAAGGTATAACTAACTGGATTTGATTGAGCACACAAAATTAATCAAATAGATTGAAGAAATTGTCAGTGGATAACTGGACATGAAAAGTTAATGTGTCAGACAAGAAATCCAACAGTGTACTAGTCTAGTAAGTAAAAAATTTGTTTTAAAGTATAGCACATGAAAGCACCTTTGTCTCCAGCAGATTTACGAACTGCTTGTACAAGATCAGAAGCATAAATTGACATGTAGTCAACATTAGCCACAACTCCCCTTGAAGCTTCCCCTTGTTCTTTCAGGTTACCATGTGCAGATTCCTCATATATTTTGGAAGCACGCTCCAGGATATCTTTGATATCAGTTTTATTTAGCCCACCATCACTTGTAAAAAACTTGAGACCATTCCGATTGTAGGGAAGATGGCTTGCTGTAAAGTAGAACAATCCCAAAAAGTTAGCTCCCCTATATAATTTCCAAACACTTTGTGAAAAGTGAAAATGGTATAAACTTGTGGCTTGAACAGAAAGCTGCAAAAAATGAGCACACGTGTATACAACAAACTTCATAAGTAGATGTGCATTTTATAATACCATGGGTCCGTAACTCCATATAATCACAATATCATAAAGATTATAGAGAAGAATAGAACATACTCAATAATCATGAAACTACATATGAAAATCATCAATTAAGTTGCATTTATTTATCTTCCTTTTGAACCTAAAACTTCTCCTGGCATCCAATAACATTTATAGGGAATGTATGGATCACAATGGAAAGCTAACAAGCAGGTGCAGAGTTGAGGATTGGATAACATAGGAAAACCACAAGAAGCCAGTGTAGGAATCAAACAATATATAAGTAATATACGAATATGCTAAGTTGGATTTCTGCATCCTGAAGGGTACCCAAATCAAAGATCCAAGCATAAACCAAAGTTGAAGCAATCCAAGCAGCCTGGCAGAGACCGGCACCAAGGTTCAGCAGTGAATTGATTAGCAAACAATAATCATCTCTGAAATGAGTTCAGAGTGAGCGCTAATAGCTGACAGAAATTGGAACTCGTTAAAAGTAGGAGTGGGCTAAATTGGACTTTTTCTATGATACAGTGATGCCTCATTTGATTTAAGAAGGTAGCAATAAGTCAAAAGATACTTCTGGCCAGGTTCTACATTTCTACATATACCAGAGTTAAATGAGCTGATTTTCTTAAATCTGAAACCAGATGAAGTCATTTGTTACCAAGATAGAAAATCAGAGATATTGAAGTCCCACCATTGCGCATAAGGAGATATATAAGTTCTCTCAGAAACATCCACTAAAGTACTGGCAATTATGGATGTCATGAATCCCGTTTAGTTGCATGGCGCAATTAAAAAAAAGTTTGGCACATCAAACAAGTGTTGGACCATCCAAGGTAATCAGGTTACAAAGTAACAATGATCAACCATGCTCAAACTAAATAAACGAAACTCCAATGGATGAAGAAAAATAGTGTTAGTGACATAACTCATGTGGCAAGTAGCAAGTTTGTATGCCTTTGCAAAGGCCTTGCAATTTTGTACATAGAAATTTCTTTTAAAATGGTCCACATCAAACTACAGAAAATACCTGTTATCATTATGGCTCCATCAACAGGTAAATGACTTCTCTCATCTTCTGTAAGTGTACTGTTGAACATTGCAGGTGTTGAAGCCAATCTACATATATGCATAATCCATTGTCAGAACTGAATATCTGTCTTCTTGTTTTGAGCTGTTAGATTATTAGGTAACGAACTTATGAGGAAACTATCAAAGCAGAGAAGCTATTGAAACCATTTTGTATGGTTAGAATTATTCATTGTGGATTCCAAAGAATTGATGTGTGAAATTTATGAGGGAAAGAATCCACATAACGAGGGTGTTAGAATATAAAGTGAATTTCCCATCTTTCCCATCAACTTAAGATTTTGGGTTGAACTAGTCAGTGCATACAACTCAATATGGTATCAAAGCTAGAGGCCTTGAGTTCAAATCCTGGTAGGCACAATTAAATAAAATAATTGTTGCCCGCTCCTATTCCACATCTGAGGTCTGAGGGAACCTCCACGTGAGGGGGAGTGTTGGAATATAAAGTGAATTTCCCATCTTCCCTATCAGCTTAAGTTTTTGGGTTGAACTGGTCAGTGCATGCAACTCGATAGAGGGAATCAAAGAACACGCTTCTGGTGTCTAAATTTGAATGGCTCTATAAACATAGAAGATCTTGCATAAATGTATGTAAACAAAAATAAAGGTTCAACTCACCCAAACTGTAGGATATCATGTCCAGCAGAAGTGATTCCATGAGTAACTGCATTCTGACAACAATAACTTGTTAGTAGCTAATAACACAAAAAACAAATGGCACGTGTGCTGCTCAAACATTGTAAACTTGTCAGATCTGAATATTTTTTGTTTTGTTTTTACCATAAAGATGCATTTATAATTAATTATTTATAAAAACAATGCAAAAAAAAGAGTTAGAAGTAGAACATACTAACAAGGTGAATTAAATCAGATCACTGCCTAATCCTGTAATAAACTGCAAAGAAGACAACTCTTGCCTTGAGGCATAATGCATCTATTACTGCAAAGAAGACAACTCTTGCCTTGAGGCATAATGTATCTATTTGAGTCGAATGGTGTACTTATATTTCAACCCACACCCCCCAACCCACCACCACCACCACACCCCATACACACACACCACCAAACAAACAGACATATACATGTTTCCTTAGGCAGATGCTGAAATAGGAGCCTGCTTCAATTATTTTATTTAATTGTGCCCGCCGAGGTCGAACTTGAGAACTCTGGCCCTTATACCATATTGAGTTGCATGCACCAACTAGGTAAACAAAAAAGCCTAAGCTAACGAGGAAAAATGGTTAATTTGCTTATACTTCACCAACATCAAACCATAAATTCAATTTAAGCATGAACATGCCTTCATGTAAGAAGGGATTCTGCCCAGTTTTCATATTTACAAGAACTTGCCACCAAGAAACAAATACTAGAGTTTTGTGCCAGTTGGGTGAACCTTGTGTGTTCATGCCAATGTGGCTTTTCGCTAGACATGGTGCTGGTTTTCGGTTAAAACAACTTCTGTAATTTTGTTGCTGTCAAGTAATGAAATTCGGCTCTGCCGTTGTGGAAAAAAAAAAGAAACAAATACTAGTGACTTTCATTGATTATCAATAGAAGAAAGTTGCAACACAACAAACATACAAGTACTGAAATATTTGTCACATGGTTATAGATGCTTGTTATAACCCTGTGGGAGAAGGCCAAACTATGGAACTATCACTAGTTGAAACAGGATTTTGGTACCCAATAATAAAGGATTAAAATATGTGTAATTTTGGTTCATAAGATTAATTAAATGAACAAAAAACAGGATCCACCTGCAATTTATGTGCAGAAATTCGTGAATCATGTCCAACAGAGATTCTTAAACGTCTCAAACCATCTGCTTTCTTCTTGTTTAACAGCCATGCAGCAAAAGCTGCAGCTATAGCTTCAGTGACCGGTTCCGTGAGGTTGACAGGCTCACCTTCAACCCCAGCAACAGCAACACCCCGAATATCACTGCCAAAAAAGAGCCTCGATAAAAGCATTTCATATATAAACTGTACTTAAAACAAACTAAGAACATCTTTTTAAGTGTTTAACTGATTCACTCATTAGCATTTTTAACAAATGTGGTAGTCAGTCCCAACATAGCTGTCTCTAAAAGCTATTATTTTAAAAAAAGATAAATAAAGCTATTTTTAAATGGCATCAACTTTGTTCTACCAAATTTCACATTATAGTTTACAATAATTGCATTACTCCAAATAGATCATCAAAGGCCCATAAATTAGATCAAATGGTTCTTATCTATGGTCCATGGAATGAAGAAGGTATTGCGTTTGGTGTCAGGTTTTACAAAATTGCATAAGACAGAAATACATCAGGTTAACAGAGAAGAAATAAGAATTTCAACTGAGAGCACCGATTGCCCCTGCCAACACCAGTGTCAAGTAATTAATTCATGTCGAAAGAGGAGCGGATCAGAACATAGGATAACATACATGACATGTATCGCACATGCTAACACATATCTTCATCTGTATGATTTCTACTAATATAATGATCCATGCAAGCAAACAGCAAAAGGCTTAACTGTATATTGCTGAATATCTGTAAAACTGTAATATTCTGCAGAAGAAGTGAAGAACATTAATTTATTGCTCAAAGGTATTTTATTACTACCTTCTATAAACATAGTTATAGCCCCTTTCTTTGAAAAAAAATAACACACAAAACTAACAGCATCTACTCCCTCCGGTGCAGTTTATAAGACATTTCGCATAAGTCAATGGTTAAACTTTATAATCTTTGACCAATAATTTGGCCAGCAAATTTTAACTATTGTAATACAAACTTGATACTATTAGATTTATAATAAAATGTACTACAATAATCATAACCTTATAATCATAGACAATATAATATAAAATAAACAAATGATCAAAGTATAATTTAGGAGACTGTGCCATGTTAGAGTACGCCTTATAAATTGAACCAAGGGAGTATATGAACTTGCAGTCCCAGCCCCTCCCTGTTACTAGGTTAATTAATGTCATAAAGTCCACTCTGACCATTCCATACCACTGTGCACAAAATACCAAAAAAAATGAACCTCTGTCAAAACACCTGAGCAATTAACACTCACAAAAGGACCTTTGTCAAAACAGCTGAGCAACTCAGTAACACTAACATGGTATTTAAAATGCAACATTCAGTCCTAATTTTTCTAATATTATATTTATAAAGTAAAATGAGACTATATCACTGTAAACAAATAAGATTGTCAAAGGACCTATATACCTGCCATTTTGAAGCTTCAGAAACTCAACTTTCTCAGACGAAGGGGCAACGGTGCCACCTTGAGCAGCTGCAATGAAGTTACTGTAAGCAATATTTCACACTTGGACATGCATGCATATTAAACATACTAATACCTAAAATAAGGACCCAAGCTGTGATTTGACATTGATAGTTACACATTATCTGAAATAAAATCTTCAAAGTGAACAAGTGAAAACAATTTCTAACGTAACACTAGTGAGCAACCTGATCAATGAGAGCCTAGAACACACACCATTGCAGCTAATGCCTGCTTGTTTGTTGAAGCTAGTCCATAGTGTCGATGTGGTATTTAACCATTTGGCTGAAGAATCAGCCACTGTCAATCTACATTCCTGGAAGGAATGCGAGCTGCGGGTATTGAGCGAACAAAAGTCACTGGGATATCTTGTACCATGCCTAGTCCGTGGGTGTTGTGCCAAGAATGCATTTTGTATGGTCTTCGCTGATAATGCTGCACAAATTGCCAAATCTATCAGATCTCCCTCTAATATCAATTAAGATATTGTACAAGATAATTGGTTTGTTTTCGTTTGTTCTCAAATACCATGGATGAATACATAAATTTTCATCAGCTAAATGCAAATCGCTAAAATTTGTTCCCTTTCTTTCAAAAAAACTTTTTCTCAACTTGGCACAAGAACTTGGATAGTTAGGTACAAGTGAGCTAATGTGCTTTTTATTCATGGGATGTGGTTTAGCCAGGGTGGAATGGTTCACTTGAATATGCATCATGATTATGAACATCTTCTTTGGGCAGAGGCGGATATATTCACAACCTATAGGACCAACACCACGTGAAGGCTGAAGTGTTGATTTCAATTTACAAATCCGCTAATTGATCAAAACAGAAAAGGGACCTCATGTGGGACCAGACCAATTTTGGACCACACATGCACCACCATAGATATTCTGTGTTTTCTTCTCTACATCCAACTCTTAGTGAGAGCGTGTTCATGTTGATCCCCTTGTTCCACAATCCTCTGACAGTTACTGACATTATTATAGATAATGCTGCTCCCAGCCACCTCATATAACTAGAAAGGTGCATCGCAAATCAACAGCTACTAGTCTTCTAATAAGGTATCGTTCTGAAGTAATTTATTTAAACAAATTTACAAACATAATGAAGGATATTGAAGAGGTTGTTGCAAACTTTCTGCCCTTTTAATTTCAAACATAACCAGTAACATCGGGTGTTAGGTCAAATGGACCAGCATAACTAATTGGCAGAAGCAAGGATCATGTACTCAGTCCACAGAAACAAACAATTAACGAGAAGCAGCATACATATTGAAATATGTTAAATATTCGGTCACATTAAGTACACTTATCAACAATTCAGAGCCTGAAGGTATCTTAACAAACTGCTAGCTTAATCTTTTCTTTGACATGTTGATACAAATATTGAATGAAAGGTGTGCTTAGCCTAGCAAAGAATGTTTTCTCGACATAATGAATGCACACCAATGTTTAGGTTCCTTGTTCTCAATGACAGACAGCAAAAGGTGTCCAACCTCATTCTTCTCTTTCCCCTTACAAAGGGCACAGGGTGGGGTAGGCATCATCCTATCCTTTACTATAACCAAAGGAAACATTGAGTTTTCTGTAGCCAGTATTTGGACTTATCCTTTAAGCAATTGTGGATGGAACAGGCAAGAGTGGTATTCAAATCTCTACTCTCTACATAGTCTTAAAAGAAATTCTTCCATAAGCCATTCCTTCGAGCCGTTCCTGCACCTCTCCCAAGGCTAGCCATGACTCAACCAACATTATTAGATGTTATGATCATCTAAAGGCCAAGATTAATTCAAAGAGTCCATAACAAATACGACAACGGTCGCAAGCCGCCTGTCACGGCAAATTCACGGCCCGGGCCTAAGTTTTCGGACCTAAGGTCTGTGTGGGACACACGTGTTACTAGGTCAGGCCGAATGTGGACTAGTTTGCTAACTTGTTTTTTGTTCTCTTTTAATTTAAGACGTTGAGTACATAGGAACAGGCTGAGAAAGAGTTTTAGGTTTAAAGTTCCGGGCTTCATTCTACAATTTTTAGAGCAATGTTTTAAATATATACAAATAAACATTATTGCCTAAAAATGATATGTAAATTTCCCAAAAAAAAAACTAAGTTTAGACCATGTTTATTGGACTTGGACATGCTAAGGGTTTTTCTCCTGCTAGTCAAATAATACCAAAATAATATTTCGGTTTCTCTTCCAAACAGTTCCCCTGATTTCCGAGACATCTTACTAGAGGAACAACGTCCACATGTATGCCCCCTGTTCAGCTACGATATCTGAAGCCCACGCTCGTACCCTCCCGAACCTTCCGAGGCTTAAAGGGAGAGACTAGCCGATCCATGGGTTCGGGTTCGCCTACTATTCGATCCGGACGAACAAATCGAAAGAGCTATACAGCGCCGCGACACGGATTAGAGAAGTGGGAGCAGTGGAGGAAGTGGGGATGAACTCACCTGCCATGGCTGCGCGCGCTTGCGGAGGCCGCCTCCTCGGCTTGGAGCTCAGTGGGGGCGGCGAGCACGAGGGAGGGAAGCGGAGCAGCGGTGGAGGGGTCGTTGGAGCCGATGGGTGTACTTTCTGTAGTTATCGGTGGAGCTGAGGTGCGGCACCGCCAGCAGGAAGTCGCAGGGAAAAATTCGGTGAAATCGCCGTGATTCCTTCACGATCGATCTGAGATTCTGAGGAGAAGCGAGGCCACAGAGAGGAAAATTCTCTCTCTCTTTCTCTCTCGGCCCAACTAAAGCCCCTGTTGGGCTCCGGCTCCGTGGGCTTCGGCTTCGCGCTACAGTGTTAGATAGAGCAGGGGTGGGAGGAGCCCTAAATCGTGGTTTTTTCCTAGCTTGCAGTTCATTTTAAATGGAGAGAGAGAAAAAAACACCTCATGTAAACAGTGCAATATGTTGTGAAGGAGGAACCCAAGCGTTAAAAACCTACCGCCCGTCACACTATAGGAGCTAGCCAGGTTTAAAGTCATTACCTAGAGAGAAATGCCTAAGGCTAGGCTTGCGAAGATAGCCGTACCGGAAGGTGCGGCTGGGCCATGCATGCCCTAAGTCATTCGATTGCATGCATTTGTATCTTATATTATATCCCATTGAATTATCATCATTAATCTGATTTTTTTCTCAAGTAAAACAACACATATTACCCTGAATTCTCAGAATTGTTCTCTTTTTTCTTTAGAAAATATGCTCCATCTATTCCAAATTATAAGATGTTTTTGGCTTTTCTATCTAGATACATATATAAAGCAATGTATCTAAAAAAAACTAAAACGAAGAGAGTAATAAATACTTTGTAAGGTTTGGAAACCATAGAAAAATATCTCTAAGCTTCTAAAAATCCAAAAAAACCTATAAATAGATTATGATACAAAGAATACAAATAAAATATTAGAGCTTATAGAAATATCTCTAGAGGTATGTAGAAAGTTTCCTACTTCTTCCTGGAAAATCTCCCTCCCCCCTCCTCCACTCACTCAGTCATCGTCCTATTTCTCTCTCCTTGGCGAAGCCCCTTCGTCCGGCGCGGCTCCTCTCCTCACGGCGAGACACTCGACCCTGCCATGGCTCCTTTCTCCTTTGTCGTCCCGATGCTCCTCGCCTTCCTCCCCGTGACCTTATAGCTCAGTCGATTCTAATGATGATAGGTATAGGTGAATAAGGAGTTAACCCCATATGCCAGGGTTTACTATAAGGGATTTAAAGGCTCTTGTTAGAGTAGATGAAAAGGTAGACCTTAAAAAGTGAGAAAAGTCCACAAAACAAAAATAAAAATCATGATTTAATGATTTCTACTGTAGTTGCTCTTAGTGTTTTGTTATCAATACATACAAGTGATTCATTTTTTCAAATAGATTAAGGCTTATTAAGAGGGATGGAGCAAAGGTTAATATGATAACATGCACAACATTAACAAAATAGATATTGTCTTATCTCTTTTTCTCTACGTGATGCATCTCATGCCATATACCGTCGCATCATTCAAGACTTCTGCAACTCCTCTGCTCAGACTCCCAACCTCCAGAAGTCCTCTATCCTCTTCAGTAAGAACGTTGACAGCCACACCAAAGCTCAGATCGGAGACATCTTCCCTGTCCGTGATCTCCTCACCAACACCTTGCACCTTGGTCATCCCATCATCTTCAACTACAATGATAGGAACAGAGCTTATGCCTTTATCATCAATAAGTTCAGAGCCAAGTTGACTACAGTCAAAGCTAACAAGCACAATCACGCTGGTCGGCTCACCTACATTAAATATGTTCTCTTCTCTATGCCTGTCTACTGCATGTCCACTTTTCTTTTCTCCAAGAATTTCGTGGAAAAAATCAACGCAGTCATCAGAAGATTCTGATGGGCCGGGGTTTAGGAGTTGGGAGGACATTTGCCAGCAAAAGGAAAAATGGTGGTCTATGCATCAGAGAACTTTACACTGTTAACAGAAGTCTACTCACTCATGCTGCCTATGACATTGCGAATAACAAAAATCCTTTCCTCACTGCTGTCCTCAAGGCTAAATACTTCCACAACACTTCTTTCTGGACTGCTAATCTGCTAATACTAGTGGACCTAGGTCCATTTTTTGGTCTTCCATTTTGCAGGTTAAGAAAGAACTCTACACCAATGCTGTCTATCAGATCCATGCAGGTAACACTTCGATCTGGTCAGCTCCATGGTGTTCGATCTGGAACTCTATCCACGACCACTTGCTGCTACCTGTCACCACAATGCCACTACCCTCCACAGTCGTTGACCTCTGGATTTCTAACACTCAAACATGGAATATGCAGCTCTATCGATGTTGGTATTTATTAACGTAAAAAGAATATAAAGGACTTCACAAACGTATAGAATATCATTGTAGCATTTTATCGGGAGTATTCCAGGTATCGTTATTTATATTTTACCACAGGGAAACAATGGAGTAAGACTTATTGAGTAATAGAGGAATATCTATCAACAAACCAGCATAGCTTAAGTAGAGGGTAAATATATAGATAGGAATTAAGTATAATGACACTCAGGGGATAGATCTATAAAGATAATATAAACTAGTCAACTCGGGAGAACAATATGTGAGGTAGATTCCTATGATATTCTTATTACAGGATTAAAGTATATATACCCAACTATAGCTAAGACTAACTCTACTCTTGTGCACTTCAGAACACCGCTTAGACGGTAGAGCACCCACAATAGATAACTCTACTAACGCGACTACGGTTTTACAATTTAAGAACTTGCTCAATTTGAAGTGGACTACAAAGGATAAACGGGGTTGTCACCTCCCGCTGCTACCACCCAACCAGAGAACAGGGTGCACTCATAGGCAGAGCATCGTATAAGCACCATGCTTACATGAGACTCGGCTACTTAGCCTAACCGGTAAACTAGCAAGCTAAGCGCTCTATGAATCCGCACACAAAAGTATTGATAACCTTTAACTAAACAAGATATATATTCAAAGTAAACATAGCCACGTAGATAAGAATATAATAAATTGATAATAAGTCTTACAAGATGTAGAAGTGAAGATATAATACTTTGCCGAGCCTCCAAGACTAGATCCGAAACTTGAGCATGAGCCTAACTCGACCCTCACTCTCGATCTACTAATCTACTATATTGGAGAGGTCTAGATCTAATCCTCCTGGTGTGTCTTGATCTGAATGAGAGATATGAATTAGGGTTTTCAAGATGGCTCTAGGAAGGGGGCAGTGGCTGCTATATATAGGCCGAGGTAGAGTAGGGGGCAAGGAATCGAGGTGGAGTAGGGGGCAAGGAATCGCCACATCATCGATCCGCGTCAACTCCCTTGACCACCGTTGGATAAACCGACCTAAAACCACCTTAAAATCAATGGTGTAGATCATAGGAAGGAGTACGAAGCGACGGAGGACGAGCGGGCTCTATGGCAGGCCAGCCGGCCCAATTTCATGGCCGTTTGGCCCAAGCTTTGGCGTGGTATCTTCTGAAACCTTCTAGAGTTGTCTTTCACAGTTTTCGCGGGTTGAATCACTTGTTGTCATCGGTTTGCTTGTTTGGAGTGTATGACAGTGGTCCTAGGAACTATTTTCTGGATAAATCCTCCTACATACAAACATTTAACAAAGCTCGTGGAATTCATTAGTTTAAACCCCTATAGTTATGTTTGGTGATGGAATTAAGTACATATGCAGGATATGTTGACGGTTTATAATTGGTGTTAACGACCGTCAACAGTCGACTAAAGATGCTCGGTAGTCCACCGAGGGGGCTACCCGCGATGATAGATTGATTGGTAGAGGTGCGCATGATCAGGAACCGGATGGTAACAGAGACACAAGATACAAGATTTATACAGGTTCAGGGCGTCAGTGTGACGTAAAGCCCTACGTCCTATGCTATATTATTTTGTATTAATTGTGTGTCAGATTCGGTGTTGACTAGGGGACCCTGCCCCTCCTTATATATTCTGGAGGGGTAGGGTTACAAGAAAAATATTATATTTGGTATTACAATATCTTCTTGTAGCCTTGCTGAAAGCTCTAGTTTGGTTTTGGTGAATTGATGAAACCCTAAGTGCTAACCTAGTTTATCAAGTGATCATGAGATAGGTAGCACACTCCAAGTGGTGAAGCAAATGAAGATCATAGCATGATAAAGATGATGGCATGGTGATGATCAAGTGCTTCGACTTGGAAAGAAGAAAGAGAAAAACAAAAAGCTCAAGGCAAAGGTATAATTTGTAAGAGCTATTTTGTTTAAGTGATCGAGACACTTAGAGAGTGTGATCACATTTAGGATTGATAGTCGTACTATTAAGAGGGGTGAAACTCGTATCGAAATGCGGTTATCAAAGTGCCACTAGATGCTCTAACTCATTGCATATGTATTTAGGATCTAGTGGAGTGCTAACACCCTTGATAATATTTGTGTAAATATGCTACCACATGTGCACAAGGTGTTTGTAGGGTTGAGATGGGTTTGGGTCCCTCTCTCCCCCCCGCCCTCAATGGATTCAGGCCCCGGGAAAAAATGAAATGTCTATTTTCTATTGGCGCAAATGCAAAATTCTTGGTGGTTGGCACACTTGAGCAAGGGTGAAGAAGTAAGAGTTGAAATGGAGTTGATCGAAATGGTCTTTGGCGTCGGTCGATGGCCGGACCGGACATCGAATCCGTAAGCACCGGACGCCGATCGCTGTGTCCGGTCATGTGGCCGACTTAGCGATACAGTGGCTAGGGGTTGAGCACCGGACGGGGTCACTGCGTCCGGTCAAGGTGGACGGACGACGTCCGTCGAAAAAAATCATGCCTCGAGGAGCTTCTCGGAACGCACGGGACGACGGCTGGGGCTTCAGCGTCCGGTCAACTTTCATGACCGTTGAATCGGCGAACAAAGATTTGAAGCGAGGGGACACGTGGCGTGAATCACGTGACCGGACGTCTGGGCGGCAGCGTCGGTCGATCGGATCGG